AGATCATCTCATCTAGATCCCCTGCCATGGGCAGGGACACCTCCTCACTAGATCAGGTTGCGCAAGGCTCATCCAGTCTGGTCTTGAACACTGCCAGGGTTGGGGCAGCCACCACTTCCCTGGGCAACCTGTGCCAGTGTCTCACCACCCTCACAGGAGAAAACTTTTTCCTAATATTTAACCTATTCAGTTTGAACCCAATAATAGGATATCTCTGACCTGATCAAAAACTTCCTTAGTAATTGAATTCTTCACTTAGGAAGTGGCAAGTTTTATACTAGAGACACAACAATGTGACATGAAATAAAGATTTTGAAACATTTTATATTTGCCAACACCACGTTTCATATTATTTTGATAGAACAGAAATCAACAGAAAACTTGAAGTGTTTACTGATTTAGTTCTGTGTTATCTAAACTGGATGCATCTCGTTTAATGTTTTAATGACATTTTCTTAAAATGGTGTTTGCAGACTTGGATTCTCTGACAAGATTGTTTATTGAAGAGCAAATAACAGAACTGCATGCTAATCACTTGGTCACTGACTCATAATTTTTCCATGGTAATTAATACTTAGAATTCTCCCCAGTATGGAAAAGAATATATTCACATGAGAAGGAATCCTGTCTAACATATTTACTTTTATGGCACACAGTTCCAGAGAGGCCACTGCTCAGTTTTGCATTCAAGTACCAATAATGTCGAGCATTCAGATCTGGGAAGATAAGAGTGCAACCTTCCAGAGGATTTGATCTGGACAGTGTCAGTGGTGACAATTTCTTAACAACCATCAGCACAAGAATACAGTTACTTAACCAAAAAAACGTGTTTGACATTAAATCAAATGTTTTATACAGTAGCAGATATAAAAGATTTATATCAGCAAACTACTAAACACTGCTAAATAACTTGAAGGTGTGTGGAGGAAGTTCTTTTCTTTGATGTAGCTTTGTTTTTAACTGAATAGAAGAGCTTACTTCTGTGCAATCAGACTCTATGCTGGGTCATTCCTTCAATGTATGTGGTCTGGACATGACACTGGTGGGTTTAAGAAGTGTTAGTCAGATGAGGGAATCCAGGATATCCTGTTAGGTTTTCATACCAATGATTATGACAGGTGATAATTTCCATTTCTTAATATTTACTGGAAGTAGTGCTGTGAAATAGCCCTACAAAAAACATTGGGCATTTTTTCCCAAAGACTTTAATCCAATGCTTAGATTTACGAGGATTATTTTCTAAAGCATTAAAGCCATTTTTTTTCTCAGTAGCAGTAATTGGGATACAGTTTCTTCCTACTATAGTAAAGTTATGTTGCATGGCTCAGCCGTGGTGAAGTTTAAGAAATAGCATCTAACTGCTGCAATGTGCCTTTTTCATCAGCAAATTTTGAAAAAAAGCCTTTGAAAAAAGTCCTTTTGGAAAACTCATGTTATACATAAATTATTTGGATTAAAAAAATCTGTAGGATTTTCAATATTGCATGCAAACCAATCATGAGACTGAGGCTCAGGAAAGCTGTGTTCCAGACCTGCAAACAAATGTGCCTGATCTTGGGCTAATTATTTCTATTTTGGTCCTCAGCTTGGGACACATTAAAGACAAGAAAATATTTGAAGTGTGAAGTAGTAATAGATTTTTTTTTACAAAATATTTATTTATAAACCTTCAAATCTTGATTTACTCTTAAAATCTCAAGCAGCACTTTGATTTTTCCACAGTCTGTTGGGACAAAACCATTTATTTAATAGGCACTGAAGATTTTGCAAGTGGCTTTGGCAACTGAAATAAGCATTTCCCTTTAAGCTCAATTTGAAGTAACTTCTAATTTCAATGAGGACTAGGTGCCTAAATGCCTTTAGAGCAGTTTCAGAGCTCCTTAGAGAAATGTTTAAGTGGTGAGAATTTTTGGCTTAGTGTTTCTGCTACAGGGCTATGTCAAGCTGGAAGACCCTTATATTACCCACTGATTGTTCTGGCATGGCATGGAGTGTGCAGTATGATAAATAACAAAAGGTTCCAATTTTCCATTGCCTCTTTTAGTCTTTTATATCTGCACAGAAGAAACATGACACTTTATTATTCTAACTCAGTACCATTTGACATCCACCTAGCAAAGACACAAGGGCAAGTCCGTGAAGAATGAACCAGTTCCAGAGGTGCTCTTCCTTACTTCTTCATTTAATAACCCAGGAATAATCCAGATTATTTCACCCAGATTCAAAGGTGGATCTGTTTGTTGTTCTCAGAAATATTATTATTTATTCTGTTTATCATTAGAGGATTGCATAACTATTATTTAATTCTGGTGACAGAATAGTAATTGTGAGCAGAAAGAAATACATCTCAGTTTTCCTCGTTTGCTCACATGGGAGCAATCTTTCTGCATGTAAACACTGCAAGCATCCATTCACAGACACTGTTAATCACTGAATGAATCAAAGCTGCCTTCACAGATGTTCTTCTGAGAATAACTGCTTGTTCTAAATCAGAATCAAAAGAAGTAATGCCTAAAATTCTACTTCCTATTGGCTTACAAATCCCAATCTTCCAGAAATGACGTTGTCAAAACAAGCAGTCAAATGATTTGCTCAGCAACTATTCTCACAGTGAGACAAATTCTATACAGATTAACCTACTGACAACATTCATTCTTTTCCACAAAAAGAAATGTATTGATCTTTGCTTTCAGGAACATAAAGTTAATTACTTTCCTACTAGGTTTCTACTAGGGCAAACAACGAAGGATCACTTACTTATAAGTTATCTGAAGTGAGAAAATGTTGACATAACTGTTAACCATGAAATTTGACTTGTACTTCCTTACAGAAACTGGAAAGTATGGATCCTTTCCCCTGAAAAGTATTTCTAAAAACGGCAGAGAATACATAGTTTCTGTACCACATGTATATATATATGTACACACACATACACACACACATATATTGAGTATATGTACACATATGGAGCATATACTGCTGTGACTGAATTCACTATTCAAAATTCAGAATTCATTCAGTGGCATTATTAGGATTTTTTGTTCCCTGTTTGTTCAGTATCATTCTGTACACTCTACTTCCCATTAGGACAGTTGATGACTTGACATGGCAACAAAGACTAGAAGAGACTGAGTAAAAAGTTACCTACTTTTTAGACTGGGACATATTAACTCACAGTCATAATCTCCTAACCTCTTTTCAAGAGGAAAACAGTAAAGATACACAAATATCTGACTTGTTAAACGCATTAGCTTTCAGGTGAGCATATTTACAATCTCTACATCTGACAGGGATGTCGGTATAATTTGAAACTGTGAATCCACTGGATCAGTTTTGCATATTTTTTCCTTGATGAATGTACAAATAAAACACTCATTTCAGGCAGATAAATCCTCACAGTCCTCAGAGATTGAGATGTTAAAAACCACCTGTGAAACCTCTGCAGCCAAATCCTTTTAAAATTATATATGTATTTTTCCAGAGTTTTCCAAAAGCTCTTCCAAAGCCCAGTTTCCTAACATTCTCTCTGATGTTTTCTGTGCAACAGGAAAGATGTTTTAAAGGTATTTTGAAAAAAAAGAGCTTATAAGAAGTTTAAGAACTTGAAGCACTGATATAATATGCCATGGAGCAACCTTAAGAAAACCATTCACCATTGTTTCAACCTTCTTTTACCAATCATTCTGCAGTCAGAGTTGCTTCTGTTTTGCTACCTCCATCCAATTTCCAGGATGTAGGTAGGATGTGGATCAGGTCATATATCTACATAGTAGACTTAGTTCCCAACTCACACTTTCTTGTGGGAAAGCTGCAATTGATAACACTTCTGGGAGGATCAGAGGAAATGTGTGTGTTTATGTGTGTACAAAACACTATACAAAACACTATCCCATGGAGATTAAAATGGCTTTAAAATTTCCTTTTCTATTGATGCTGAAGAACAAAATTATTCTTAATTGCTATTATTTTCAGCATTTGAAGCTCAGGTGGAGCATGTCAGTGTGACCCCTCCCACACCCCAAAATGAGTGGCTGGAGGGAGAGTTATAATGCTTATCCAGCAACTCAGAAATATCTGTAGCCCAGGGCATAGCCCTAGGTAAGTAACTATTCCAGGAACACAACTATTACCTGTGGTCATCAATCAGCACAAAACTGCACTGAGTCCTGATGAAAGCAGCTGAAAATATTCATGCTGAAAGATCAGATTATAGTTTTTTTTGGGTATTTTTTTTTAGAGAGTTGGATAAAATATTTCATGTTTCCATCAGAAACACATCTTTGCATCTATTTTAGGAACTCACATGGTGGTCATCTTAGATAAACAACTTTCAAAGTCTAGTTTTGATTTAAGAGATATTTGTATCCTATATACACTTCATTTCAAAAGTAGTGGTGGTATTAGGAATTTCTAGACTGACATTATTATGCTGCCTTTGCCATTTACAGTTTCCTCTTAATCTAGTGGATATATGCAGAGTAGCCAACAGGGAATTTATGGCTAATTTGTTATTTCAGAAAGCATTAAAAACAAGTTAGGCATTTAGGCTTAAATAAGGAATGTAAAATTCACAAAACCACCCACTCTCCATGGTCATGGAAAACAAGGCCAGACCATGCTACAAGACATTTCAGTCAAGATGCCTTGCCCACCAATGGTCAAACTGTATATTGTCTACACAGGACACAACACAACTTGAAGCAAAGTAGACTATTTCTGTGCTCTTTGGGAGGCAGCCAAAAATAAATCTGTGTCACAAGTTTATTGCACCATTATGAAAAACTGAGAGTAGAGAAGGCTAGGTCTGAACTCAGAGTTTTGGCTCTTACTTCTAATCCCCACAAGGCAAAAACTCATTTCACATGACTTATGTGCAAAGGCTAAAGAAACAGCACAAGCTTCTGATACTTTTTCTGCAAACAGAAGGGAATGACCACAGAATCTCAAAGCACTCTTTTGTTCCCACAGAAAAGAAGGCAATCCAGATCATTGTCACTTACTCTCTGTTGGCAGCACTGGGGGAAGTGTGGTCTTAGGCTTCTTGGTCTTAGCCTTCTCAGTAGTCTTCGAGGTCTTTGAGGCATCTGCAATCAAAACAAATAATAAAATACAAATCCTATTTAAAAATCAATAATGAAAAAGCTGTCTAATAAAACGTTTGTTTTGGATCTTTCTGCAAAGCTAGAGGAAAATGCTGTCCTTTTGGTTTTTGAGAAAGATTTTCTGCACAGATTTGCTGTTGAATTTCACATTCTGAAAGGATGAGGGAACAGAGAGTGAGAAACCTTCCATGAAAGCAGCTGAGAACCTGAGAAAGCAGCTAAAGAAGAGGCACCATCTAAGCTGGTAGGTCTATCTTAGCCAAATAAAGCAAAGCACAATGTGCACAAAGCTGTGTTAGTCAGTGTGTGGAAAAGGGAAACAAAGGAATATTTGGAATATCACTTCATTCAGATGAATCTCTTGCCCTGTAATTTTTGCATTCCATTGTCTATGGGATCTGTACAGATTAAGCCATTTTGAAAGGTAGCATTTCCTCTCTATGTCTAAATCTTTCCAGGAAGATATTATTACACATTGGTTCATTCCTAAATAAAAATGGCAAAAGGAACACCACAGGACTGAAATTTGGTGGCTTTTATTATTTTCACAATTGCACAGCTCATATCCAGAAACTGCTCATCACTGCAGGCTGCACCGACAGCTCAGGGTCAATAAAGCTCTTCCATGTGCATCCCATATAACTAAAAGGTGCAACGTTTTTTTCACAAGGTTATTCCAGGCTGAACATGATCACAGGGCTGGAGCACCTCTCCTATGAACACAGGCTGAGAGAGTTGGGGTTGTTCAGCCTGAAGAAGAGAAGGATCTGGGGAGACCTTAAAGACCTTTCCAGTGCCTAAATGGCCTACAAGAGAGCTGGAGAGGGACTTTTCACAAGGGTCTGTAGTGACAGGACAACAGGGAATGGCCCTAAGATGAAGGAGCATAGGTTTAGATGAGATATTAGGAAAAAATTCTTTACTGTGAGGGTGGTGAGTCATTGGAACAGGTTTCCCAGAGAGGTTGCGGACTCCCCATCCCTGGAAGTGTTCAAGACCAGGCTGGATGAGGCTTTGAGCAACCTGGTCTAGTGTAATGTGTCCCTGCCCATGGCAGGGCAGTGAGTTGGAAGTGGATGATCTTTAAGTTCGCTTCCAATACAAACCATTCTAGAATTCTATGTCACACAATGCAAATCCTAACAAGCTCCACTTGTTAGATTGTCTGATCCTGACATTTATCTTTGGAAGAAAGATCCCAAATCTGGATTATGATCTCAGCAATAGCTGTATCAATTTACAGCTTTCAAATATTTAGCTTTCAGAGGATTTGAGAGTGAGAGAGCTGCTTGAAATTTAGTTACCAGAGATGACACAAATGTTATGGAACCAGCTATTTTAATCACCTACTTCTAAGGTGCCAGAGTGTGAAAATTCATCTAAGTTTCTTAAAAGGCTACAGGGGAAAATAGAATCTCCCAGCAAACAATTCAGAGCAAGAGGCTGTGCAAGATCTGAGTTCAGACACTAAGATTCCACAGATCTGACAAATGAAGTCAAATATTCCTCCCATCTTATTTGAGTCCATGGTGCCAGAAGGAATATAATGATAATTATGGTTACTTGTTGAGTCTAAAAATCAGCATCTGGGATCCTGACAGCAGACTGAAGAAGGGAGAAATTTTAATTGTTGTTTTAGATCACAATTCTAATTTAAAAATAACAGTCATCCCCTCTGCCAGTCACAGACATGGGATATCAAATGGCGCCTTTCCTAAATAGCTGGAGATTGCTATGGTGCCATTCCTCAAAAACCTCTTCTCAGCTGCATGCCAGGAGAGAATGAAAAAGACAGATGAGGCAGCCAGTATCAAATGTGGTCATTCTGGTGCCCAACATTATGTGAGCAGTGAGCTCCAATTGCCATGAGTGCCACCACCACAGTGAGCTAGACAGCTGATGTAATTGTCATTCCCATGATCAGGCAATGAATATACCATGAGCTGACAGGCTCCCACCAACAAAACTCTGCAAGCCAAAGTCCACCTGCAACCTCTAGAGCATGCATTGTCCAGCAGGGGGAGTAGGAAATATGCAAGGGAGGCTTCAGGGAGAAAAGCAACTACTTGAAGGAGATTGGAAGACAAAAATAAAACACAACACAGTGTCTATCTGCAGCCTCTAGAGCATGCATTGTCCAGCAGGAAACTGGGAGTGGGAAATATGCAAGGGAGGCTTCAGGGAGAAAAGCAACTACTTGAGGAGATTGGAAGACAAAAATAAAACACACAGGTGACAGACATTTAAAAGATGCTTGGGCAGCTCTAGAAACCTACTGGATGCTAATCTTTTGATGATCTGATTCTTTTACACTCTGCATCTGTGGTAGTTAAGGTGTTGCAGAGTATTAGATTTTGCTTAAAGCCTCTTCTTGATAGTATTCTTTGAACTTTAGTACTGGCAAAACTTATTACTTTAAATTACAGAAATATAAACAATAGCTTATGAAATATCTAAGGCAGTTACACTGTGACTGTAGTATCACAGAAGGTGCCATTACAGGAACCAATACAATTAATTGCAATTTTATGTATCATTAATTCCTTTTCCAGTTATATGAAGACTGACCTTTGATGAGGAGTTACAGGATCATATTCTCACCTTGCGTCATGCAACATTAGGAAAACAAATAATAGTTTTCTTTTCTAGACCTCCTGCCCCAAATACCACATCTGCAACACAGCTGTGAAGGTTTAGTACCCAAGCTCTATGTTATTAGTCTTGTTGTTTAGTTTTGCTTTCATCTCAGTCACATTGGAAAGTCTCAGAGTATCCAAGGATGAGATCACCAGAAGGTGAGCTGATAAGAACACTTGGTTACTTAAAGCCTCTTGAAGAATGTAAAGTCTATGGCAGTTTTATAAGTCTGTGTCTCACTCAACTTCACAACAATGTACTTGCCTAAGGCCAAGACTATTTGGCAAGAGTACAGTGTCATCAGCCTGACTAAGGCTGAAAACAAGTACCTCAGTCAATAAATTATCCATGGTCTGAGACTATGGCATACAAGGGTGGTTAAGCTGCTAATTTGTTTATTTTTGCTCACTTCCACTACAAAACCAAATGACTAAATACTAGTGAATGCAAAGAATTGAAAAATTCTAGACTAAAAAATGTGCCATACATAGCCCTGAGGCAGACTGATACCCAGGCTCACACACTGAATTCTTACATGCTCTTAAAGGATGCATACAGCTCAGAAACAAATATTATGGTTTCAGCTTTCTGCTCTAAAAACCTTGTAGAAATATAGTAGGCAGCAGGAGAATGTAGTTTACTCCACAAAGGAACCAGAGCCCTTCCTTGCTTCTGTGCTGTCTCTCTGCTCATGCTCCTTTGTGGTAGACATTAAATTATCTATTGACCAAAAAGTGCAGAAGGTGGGGGCAGAGCTCTTTTTTGTGTAAATGGTTCCTAAAAGCTGTTATTGGGAAACAAGGCAGGGAAGGAGGAAGTTCTAAGGAAGGATTTTCCTGTATCCAGCAAAGTACTTACCTTCTACCACCACTTTGCAAGCACATTCAGCTTTTCCTGCTGCATTCTCAGCCATGCACTTGTACTCGCCCCCATCTTCAGGCGTGGCCTTCTCAATGGTGAGTGAACAGAGTGTCCCTGGAACAAAGGAGGGAGAGATCAAATGGATGTTATGCTGCAGCTCACAAAAACCTTAGTGCTATTAAGGAACAGAAGGCATCAAGTGACCCAATCCTTTGCCACAGGTGATCTTCACTGCTAGAAAAAGCTGGTTTGTCCTTAAAAAATCAACATCAGAATTGGAATCTTATTCATGCTAAATAAATAAAAACACATTGATAAATTCATTATCTTACTGCTGTTCCCTTGGATACTCAAAGTTGTCCCTGCACTCCTGAACTGGTTAATGGATGAGTACCTCTGATGCTGTTCTTCATCTTACAGCAGAGATCAGAAGTCCTCGCTCAGATGATCTTTTTCCAAAAGTGCTAGTAGTGCAGGACTGTAAATAAGAGGGTTACTGTCAAATGGCCATCTGCAATATTTTGATTCAGCCTTGTTTCTAGCACTCCCATGAGATTCCACAAGCAAGAGCAGAACTTCAGCTTAGTGCCCAAGTTTAAGAATGGCACTGAGACATTTTCTTTTTGCTTGAATTACTTAATGAATAAGTGTCTGGTACTGTAAAACATCCATTAGAAAGTCCAGTATATCAATGACAATCAAATCTGTCACTGCAACAAATCCATTTCTTTTCAAACAAAAAAGCAAAACTTGACTTAATTGGGTTTGCAGAAACAGGATGTGACATAAGTTCTGCAGTTACCGAGGAAAGCTTGGTACGACCCAAGGGAAATACATTTCCTCTTAAAAATTAAAACTCTGTGAACCAAAACAGGAGTTGTTCCCAGTAGGTTGGGTATGAGGAAGGAGAATCTAATCCCTTACATTCACTTGTTTTGCTTGGAACAATGAAGAACTTTCCTCCCCAGGGTGAACCCCAGTTAAAATGCTCCATACTTTCCCCTTCCAAAGATCCTTCATTAAGTGAGGGTGGAGTGTGGGTTTGCTTTCTTCTTCCTCATTGGAAAGATGTGACTGTCCCCTAAACACAGCCTGAGATACTGTGCACTTTTACACATTGCTGTTAGCTTGTCCAGAATGCTTCCACTCTCCACTTATCTCAATGGCAGCAAAACCTTCTCCTCTTCTTCCATCTGCCTTTCTCACAGTCTCTCACAATTAATGGCAAGACTGGATAGATCAGGGTTTTTTTTCAGACATTTACCACGTTTCCTGAGATGTAAAGAAATTCCCCAGCATCTCTATTTGCCATGTTTCTCTCTGTGTTAACTGCAGGCTGCCTTCTGCCTTTCAGCGTGCTTGATCCCCAGCTCCCTGTCCAATGTATCCCCTGTGATGTGGAAGATGGCACAGGCACAGATTACTGGTCCATGAGAAGGACCTTGCAAGCTCCTTAAAAAGAACACCCCTCCATCAGAACTTTGGGGGTTTTCTGGTTCCCCTTGGCAACAACCTCAGTTCTCACATGGCAATTATGCTTTTGGCATTCAGATTCCCCTCACTGTAAATCTGGATGTCATTATTCAAGACAAATCTTATAAAAAACATTCAAATGATTTTCAACAAATTTTGTTTGCCAGAAACACACAAGAGTTAGAAGAAAATTATATTTTCCTGCTCTTAATCATCCTCCACAAAATCAAGAAGCTCTAAATAATTACTATTTTCCCCCTGAGAAATGATGGGAAAGCTATCTCAGAAGAGGAGCACTGACCCCTCACTCATATGTGCTGTGCTCAGCCAACCACAGGATGAAAAGAAAAGCCACATGCCTTCCCTGAGACAACACTTCTCCATAAGTCAGGCTAAAGCCAAAAATGTCACGAGTTGCAGTTCCATTCCAAATGGAGAAGAGACACCAGAAAAGTATTCTTGCAGGCATCTAGCAAATATAAATTCACATGTCTCTGCTGTTTAAAGAGACAATTGGAGAGCAAGCCAAAGATAACTTTGAGTCTAAGAATTTGTATATATCTATGTAACGTGACTAGAAAAGATTGCACATTAAAACCTAAAAATGCTATTGTAAAAGAAAATAAACTATGGAACCAAGACACATAAATATAAAGGAGATCTCTGGCCACCTTACTGCAGGGAAGGAGTTTGGCCTGGAAGGATAACTGAATTCTAAGGGACTGGAATAATGCAGAGTTTACTTTAGTTTCTGCTGGAGTTTTCTACCTGCTCAAAAGCCCTTCCTTGGCTCACTGGAGACTAATGTGATGTAGGCTCATTCTTCACCACTCATCCTGTGGCTGTGTTGCCCATACAGCACACTGCAACAGTATGAGTTAACACCTTAGGAGAAGCACTTTGTTATGCAGCATATACAACAGAAACATCCCACCCAAACAATAAGTCATTTCTCACAGTTTACTAAAATCTAGAACAAATCCTAGGGTTTTCTCATGGCAAACCTCAACTTGCCATATGCACTGACTGCTTTCTTAGTTTTCCTTTTAGAATCTAGCCCTGGCCAATCTGTGTGGCAGAGGTCTGATCAAACCTCCATTTAGCTTATTCTACTGGAAGCAGATTCCTCATGGAATAATGTTAGTTTCACTCATTCCAAAATAATATTTATATGTGCTGAATTTTAATGATTTTTTTTGTGAGAATGATGATGAAGGAAATCTGGTTTTTCCACAGGCCATGTCCTTTTCCTCCTAACTTCCACCTGCCTATGGCAATAGTCCATATCCTATTTCCCTCCACTCCTTCATTCTCCCCAGCAGCTAGACTGGAACAGCACGTGCAAAGTACATGGGGCTTCCTGGGCTTCTGGCTACCACCAGATGCAATGGTGGCAGCCCTCAGTGGAGGAGTGAATGGGAAATGAGATAATTTGGATCATTCTCCTTTATTCAGCAATTAGTTTTATGAAACTTTACACTACTAGGTCTTGGTATGAAATTGGCCGGTGTTTAAAAAAAAGTATTAGCCAGGCTGGATCAGGAGTTTAAGGGGAGGCTGAGAGAGAGCATGGCTATAGAAACCTCTTTTTCTTAGAAAATCAGAACAGAAAAAAGAACCACCCAAAAAAACAAACAGGCAAAACTTGCTGAGATTTCATAAGGACAGGAAACTCCCCAACAGGCCTATGTTCTGTGATCTAGACCTACAGTCAATTCCCGAGGCTGGAAGGCCAAATGTTTTTCAATGAAGTATTTGGTATTTCCTCTGCAAAAACCCTTCATGACCTGAAACAAGATTATTTTCTCATAAGTGTTCAAAAGCCCAGACTGATTACTCCAGATGGGTATTCTAAATCCTGGCACTTTACAAATCCTAGTCAACTAAAAGAATTTACTATCCATGTTGTCTCCCCAACTCCCTACTTTTTTTTTTGGAAACCAGCCCACAGACAGTTCTTTCAAACGCTGTCACAAAGTGCAGGATTGGAGCAAACATGAATATTGGGATCTCCCACTTAGACACTGGAACTGGTGCAGCTCTAGAAAAGACCTTAACAGCCCCAAAAGCTGATAGTTCAGTGGAGGCTCTGGTTTGGATACACAAAGCCTTTCCCTTGAATTTTGAGCTATTTAAGGATTCTCTGACTTACTCAAAATAGTGCAAGCCAGTTTAAAATATCACTAGGCTTCTGCATTCTTTCCATGAAACTCCACAGAAAGTCAACTTCAGAGATAAAACAAATACACAAACCAACAAAAAACCAGCTCTTTAGTCTCATTCCCCACACTGGCATCCAGCTGGGCAACCTAACTCCTATCTGTGATGCAGACAATTTTATGTCTTTCTCATTTGTATCCCATGGAATAAAAAAGTACTATGGAGTATTTCAGCAATATTAATATTACTTCTATGAGAAGTTGTGCCTAGGAGCCGTAATAAATTTTTAAGCAATTGACTGGCTTATAGTGTTAATTTTCTAATAAATCTGAAATTGTCTGGGAAAGAGCAAATATGTGCTAGTGTCACAGTCATATTTCAAAATGGGAAGTGGGTTGACCTGGAAAATATTGACTACACTTACAATAACAGAAAAAGAAATGAAAATACTCATGCGTTTGAAAGGGAAAAAAAAAGTCAAATGTAATTATTTCTATAAAATACTCATGCATTTGAAAGGGGAAAAAAAAGTCAAATGTAATTATTTCTAATTGAGAAAAAGAATGTAATAAACCTACATTCATGAATCATAAAATTAGACATTTAACTGGCAAATGTATCTGTGTAGAGGTAATTTTCTTAATCTTCACTGAAATATTTGTGATAGCTCACATTTTTATGCTTGTAATTAATGTTATATTAATGATGTTGATTTAGGAAGAGTTAGAGCTGCCAAAATAAAGCTCTTATGAAGAAGCTGACAATAGGATATCATCACTCAGACTGTTGCTGCTGGATCTCCTCTGTGATCAGACCAGGACCAAAGTTATTAAATACTTTAGTCTGTGATGCAGAAGTATTCATAAATTAACGCTGACAAATTTAAAGATGTAAGAATGAACATTGGAGAGGGAAAAGACAGAAAGAGAGAAAACAGGGCAGGCCTCATAAACAATCTCATTTACTTGTGAAGCTGAGTCCTATTCACTCAAATAAAATGGAGCTTAAGATACTTGTGAAATGACAAGTAACCATGGACAGCAAGGGATGCTCTACATTCAGAAGGTTTAAAAGTTTAATTCAGAAATAACAAACATGAGCTGCACTGTTGTGAGGTAGAAAGAGGACTCCAGCAATAGGAAGGTAACCTCCATCTCACTTGTGCTGATACTGATATCATAGAATCATAGAAGTTAGGGGCTGGAATGGACCTTAGAGATCATCTAGTCCCAACCCTCCCTGCCATGGGCAGGGACACATCATCACTAGATCAGGCTGCTCAAGGCTCATCCAGTTTGGCTTTGAACACCACCAGGGTCAAGGCAGCCACCATGTCCCTGGGCAACCTGTTCCAAAGTCTTACCACCCTTATAGTAAAAAACTTTTTCCTGACATCCAACCTAGACTTTCCCTCCTTCAGTTTGAACCCAAATATACCAATATGCTGCCTAGTTTCTAAGCAGGATATTGAAGTAACAAAC